GATCCGCTCCACTGCTCATACGTCACGTGAAAAGCAATCACTGCATTTGGGTAACAGCCCACCGAATATGACACATTCAGTAAAATATAGATTAAGAAAGATGGTTTTGTAATGACAGTGTCTGGTGCATCGTGTGCTCCAAGTGTAAACTCGACTATCAATCTTTGTTAGTTAACGTAACAGACCGATCCTACTAAGCTTTCCACGCGTGCGAGACGTCTCCACAATTGCATTTCAGAGAAGGCAGGTGGCGGTGCCCGAAACAGCTGGTGTCCTCTCGTGCTCTGCTCGCGCAGACACACAGCAGGGTTGTCGCGCATGCAGAAAGACTACGATTCCCACGATGCATGCCGGCACCAGAGGCGCAACGAATCTGGCTGATGAGATTTGTCTATTGATGTTTTCGCAATTCTCCTAATCTAAATTATTGCCTACTTACTCGAACACTGGTCTCTGGCTGAGACAGTCGTGTTTGTTACGTTTAGGGTGCCTCAATGTTCTTCTGCTTAGTGTGATGCCACCCTTTGTAGTAACCAATGCCGACAGCACGCGCTCACGGGTAAAATACAAATAAATCGACGAAAACAAAATGTCGCCATAGCACAGTCAGCGCCACAAACACGTGCCGGGACAGGCTCTTTCACAAGCTTCTGAACAAAAAATAAAAATAGAAATGTAGGACGAAATGGTCAGGTGTCTCCACCCTAAGCAAGGCACACATGAAGGCACCCTAGTTACGTTTATATCCGGTTAAGATATATGTATTGGCTGCGTTCAGTGTGACTGAAGCGGCAGTGACAACAAAGTAACCGGGAATAGTTTTTTACCACAGATGATTTAGCAACCAATTCAAGAAGTAGCTTCGGGAAGTAATCATAAGTCACAGTTTCCCGTTGTGCCTTTTGTCTTGGTTGGTGTTGACATAACTGAAGTAAATGTCTACCAGCCTTCAGAGATACCGAAAGGAAAGCAAGGACGAAGTCACCGGGTCAACTTTTTGCCATGTAGGACGTGGCAAGCAACGCATTTATTAAGTAGCTTCGTGGAGCAACCGATAGTCACAGTTGTCCCAGTGATTCCGGTCTTTGCAGCCATTTGGTTTGCTGCGTATGACACTGACGCAAGTGTGTGAACTGACTTTAAAGAGATTAGCTTAAACGTTGGAACGCATGCCGCTCACGCTCGCCTTACCTGTATAAAAGAGACGAAATAATTCAATAATATAGGGCGTTGACAAGTGCACGCGATAATTGCCAAAGGTTTTAAATGTTTGCCCTTTACAAACATTACATTTGCGGACGCCAGCGCGCACAGTGTGTATGCCCACACTTGCAGCATGCTTCTTGGTGCTTGGGTAATCCAGCAGAAGTTCCAATTCATGACAAATTTATTCCAGTGTGTCAAGGAGGTGAAAAACATTTGGGTTTTTGTTGATGTGCATGCATTCTTCGGGCTGCCGGCTCATTGATAACATATATTTCAGAACAGGCACCTTAATTAGCAACATGAAAGCAAATGAGGTGAGGACAAAAGTCAAGAGAGAATGAGTACAGTACGAATTGCTGTGGACGTTTCCTGAACAGAAAAAAAACTTGAAGTACCCGTAATAAAAAACGCCGGCCTTCACCTGTTCCTTAAAATAAGATTTCAGGATATAATAAAGGTACGTGACTAAATATAAACATATAACAAGTCGCAAAAATGACGCACTGTATTATATAATACACAAAGCAGTTCACAAAATGATTTCATGAATTAGCGTATCTAAAACAAAGAACATATCCGCAGAAGTGGCGTTGCAGTGTTTAACCTGCGGCACTTTAGATTTTTCATAAACGCTTCCAACATGTGTCCCAAGAAATTGAAGGTGGTCAGTCAGTTTGTGACAGATTGTTTGCCGTACCTGTTTTATGGTCTTAGGCTCCAGCGTTCGTCTGTTGGCCTGTTTGAACAATTTGCCGTTCGTGGCCTGAGGTGTTTGGCTGCTCACATGTGAAGCTAGAATTCATATTGTGGACGTAGTAAACATCTGTCCTCTAGACCGAGTTTTGTGTTCATAGATATTTGCAAGCTTTCCATGTGCTCGTATTGCAGCGAGAAGTATGTGGAGCCAGATGGGCTCTGGAGTTTATTATGAACATTAAAACGCGCCTGAAATGACCATTATGTCAATATATAATTTGTTCTTTTTTCGTCTCCTTTGATTCCATTTAATTACCCCAAAGGCGTCTTTTCAGACGCATAGCTTGAGGGGAGCTCATCTACAAAAGAAAATATATTATGAACTTTATACAACTTTATAAAATGGCATAACATGACTATAAAAAAGTACACAAAATTACACTCATTTCTACACAAATTAGTTATAATATAAGTGCTTACAGAATGCTTTAAACACTAGAAGATAAATGTTAGTCACGATTTGTTCCGACAAGCTGTTTTATTGAGTAATGATCAGTATTACGGGAGAAATCACGAGAGGTATTATGCGGCCGATATTGTTGAAGTTCGTTCAAGTTATCGGTTCAAGAGGGAATGTAATGAGGCGATTGGTAATAAATATTTCTGAAGTATTAAAAACTATACTAAATACCATAAAAAACAGCTCCGATAAGTTTGGCCTTTAGTTGATAATGAAGGAAGACCAAGGTTTCATTTTAAGGCGGAGGCACTGCTATCACGTGAAATATCGTTCAACATGAGGCGGGCTGCTTCATTTTGAGCGGACTCTATTTTAGCAGTAAGATAGTTTTTATGTGGACGCCTTATTACACTGGCGCATTCAAATTTTGGTCGAATTAATGTTTTATGCTCCAGTAATTTTGTTGCAGAAGGGGCAAGATTGAGGCGCCTTAAGAATCCTAATGATTTCAATGAGCTCGCGATAAAGTTATTAACATGGAGATTCTATGAGAAGCTTTCACAGATATGAAAGACGAGATGCCTATAGACTAAAACATATTTTAGTGGCTGCGTTACAAGCTTATATTGAACGAACGATTTGTTATAGCTTTATAAAACGGTCATTTGGTTGAATTTTTTAGGGTTAATATTCATTTGCCAGCTAGAGCTCCAGGATGTTATGAAGTCGAGGTCATTTTGGAGACTGCAATGATCTGTTGGTCCAGTAATGTTCCCGTACATAAAGCAATCATCGACAAACAGCCGAATGGTACATTTTATCAAGAAAGGAAGGTAATTCATATGTATTAAAAATAGTGGGGGTCAAGAACGCTACATTGAGGCACACCTGAGGTTACCGGTAGCGAGGTAGAAAAATAATTATTTATCGAGACTGACTGCTTTCCCTTGTTGGGAACGATGTTATCTATATGACGACTATTGGGTTGGTCGCGAGAAAAGAGAGTTTCAGGCGTAGACAATGGTGCGGACCCATATGAAATGCCTTGGCGAAGTCTATGAATATAATTAGAATGCAATTAAATGCAAAGGTGCAAGCGAGCTGGACAAAAATGATCGATTTTTTCGGTCTCGCACCAGTCACCAAGCTGTGTTTGGAAATTTGTGTTTGTCCTTTGTCCCTCTTGTTCCCCTTCTCCAGGGATTATTTTCATAATTATGAATATAATGTCGGTTTGTACTGAGCTATGAATGTTAAAATGAAGATCTGTGATGCGCTCGAAAGCTGGCTGGTGCAAAAGTGTGTTTTTTGTGAAACCATGCTTTTTGGAAAAGAAGAGTTTACATTCTTTCAGGTGTAAGATGTATGAGTATAAAGAACATGTTCTATAAGCTTACAAGGTACACTGATTATGAAAATAAGACAATAGGCGGATAGAATTGGTTTGACATTTGATTTAAAAATCGGTTTTACTTTTGCAAAGCGCGAGTCGGATGGTATTTCACTAGAATTGAGGATTTGTTGACAAAACTGGTGAATATGCTTGAATCTGCATGCGTTAATAGTTCGAGAAATTCGGCATATACCAACATTTTGAAGGGGACTGCTCGAGGCCTAATTTAAGATTAGTTTGTGAATTCATTCGGTGCTAAATGAAACAGGGTACATGACCATTTTCTGATAAGACAGACAGTATACGTTTTGAGTGAGAATATATATATATATATATATATATTTTTTTTTTGCGAGTGAAGATGTTGGAAAAGAATAAATTCAACATATTAGCTGCCCCGTCACGGAGAATTTCGTCACGTTCATTTCTAAATGAACTTGACCAATGAGTCTGTATGCTCAACCTTTGTTTCGTCTTTCTTTCTTTCTTTGTTGTTGTTTCATACGCTTTTGTGGTTGTGAGATAAGATGTTGTTAAAACTTCAAATCTCATTCTTCGGTACCTTTTTGTTTTTGTTTTTGTTTTGCAAGTGTAAAATTTGGAGGACATGGTTTTAAAACCACTAAACTTTCATGACCGGCTTTCTGGCGTTCGTCAATGAAAAGTAAAAGCTTGGTCTGCTGGGCAAGTTGGTAATGGACATTCATATTAAAAATAGCGCAAAAGAGACGGGACAAAAAGACGAAGAAGCACACAGTACAAGTGCTAACTGGCAACTAAACTTCATTAAATGCTTCCAACTTCGCTATCGCCGTGCACGCGCTTAGTCTCGTCTCAACGAAAACAGGGCATACCGCCAAATCAGCAGATACAGGCTGCCCACCGCCTGTTCCAAAAAGTCCGCAAAACAGCTACATCACCCCGCCGCACAATCGTAACGAGTAAAAAAACAGAAAAATTGCCGCGTTAATATTATCAAGTTAGATAGTGTTAATGAAACTGTACTCTTTCGGCTGCATATACACCGAAGCGACGCTTATGCAAACGTCTTTGTCACAAGCATGAAACACAGGACAAGTGCATGTAGCGCTGGTCCTGTGTGCTTCTTTTTGCGTCTGTTTGTCCCGTCTCTTTTGCGCTATTTTTAACATAAATGTCAATGAAAAGCATGTCATTTGGGTACATAATATCGGAGTGATGCTGTCTTAAATTTTTGTTTTTTTCCCTTTCTCACTTTATCCACAGATTGACACAACTGGGAATAGCGTCGTCGCCTTCGGGCAAGCGCCTTTCAGCACTTGTGCTTAGAAAGGCTGCTCGTGGCGACAAGTGTCCGGGTGTCGAGTGATAGTGCCACTAATGAGCATGCCAAAATAAAAGCTGGCTTTCACTTAAGCCAAAAATGTCGAGATTCGCCGTCTGCGAAGGCGTCAAGCTGGGGAATCTATTCTATCCAAAAGAGGAGGCAATGTTGTCCGAACGCCGATAAGGCCCGAGACCACATTATCAGCTTTTGAGTCCTTGGGTCAGTTGTGAGATATCGATAAGACCACTCGATTTCTGTTCCGCACGAGGAAATCTTCCGAAGAAATGACTGACGAACAAGACAAACTCCACGCCGAACGTGCATCTCCGACAAACGGTACCGCGATGGAGTTCGAAGACGTGCTCGAAGAAGTGGGGGGATACGGCAAGTTCCAGAAGTATCTCATGTGGCTTTTTCTGTTCCCTTCGACGGCGCTATTCTCCTTTTTCTCAATGAACCTGATATTCTTGTTGTCAACGCCGGATCACACATGCGTGATTCCCGAACTAGAGTCGCTGGCTTTAAACGGATCCCAAGCGGAGATGCTACGGGGTCTCGTGGTGAGCAGGGACGAGTGTTCGGTGCTGTCGCCGTGGATGCTGAACAAGAGTCGCCTGGACCTGCTCCCAGGAGGATTACTGAACGTGTCCGGACTGCTGAACCACGGCCTCGAGAGACAACCGTGTGAAAAGTTTGTTTACGACAAGACGGATTTCGACGAGACCGTACCCACTCAGGTGATGCAGTGTCTTTGTTTTTCATACTTTAGGGTTTACGTTTGCAGTTCATTTAAAGCCCTTGTTTTTTGCACATAGCATCGGGAGACTTTTTTTTTTCCTTGAACGCTTGCTTCCCCGGATAGATTTTTTTTTCTTAAATTTAGCCTAGAAGAGAAACATGGCATGAGTAATTCCGCACTATAGGTTGAATTTATTGTGGAGTAAGAAAAACCTTTTTTAGGTACCCGATATAGCGGGTATAGAACCAACTCCTATGTGAAGAGGATTTTAAAAGCTATGCAAACAATAAAGAAGCGAACTACAGGGCCAAGACTTAGCTTGTGCTAACGTATCTGATAACGAAGTTACCTGCGACACAGTAACCTTTTCGGATCGGTTTATAGAACTGCGGTCGTATGACCGACAGCCGGCAGCAGCTTTAAGAAAAGTATTTGTTTCGTGAATGCTTTATCTTATCTTCAGGTCACGATTAGGAATTATTTGCAAAAGTTTTGCATGCCGGTTCGGAGAAAAACACGTGGCAGCCTGAATTGATTATTCAAATAATTTTTACCCATTGGGTGACTAAACCTCTCGTTTTTATCGCATGGCTGCGCAAGTGCCAGACCCTTAAACACCATGTAGATATTTCGCTACGGGCAGGCTGTCACAAAACTGGTCTAGCAATTAATTTCTTAAAACGTCTGAACGTTTGTTTTGCATCTTTGAAATAAACGGTTCTATTTACCTACGCAAAAAGATCTATCCAACTTCAGTTGTTTCGATTCGAGAAACGTTAGCGGGCGATAATAAGCAGAGCCGGCAATAATAATTATTTGCAGCCCTACCAGAAGGTGAAGTACGACATCGCCAGTTTTTTTTTTTTTCTTTTATATTGTCAGGCCAAATTAGTATAGCCATGTCTCGTTAATATGGGTTCCGTGAAATGGATGCTCTGCTATATATATAGACAACATTTTCGGGGAAGAAATTGATAAACACAAGCATTTTTGTCTCGTTATTGCAGACAGCTCCAAAAGACCCTTTCACAAATTCAACACCAACTAGTGACCCAAATATCGGGCTGCATTTTTGTATGCTAATGGTGGTTAAGATATAGTACCTATTCATCAACGGCAGATGTACGAAATTTATGGTGTTCTGCGCCGTACAGTGTTCTCTCTATTTGTTTAATCTTCGATGATATCAAGGAATTACCATTATGTACGAGGCGCTTAGCTTAGAAAAGCTCTTCATCACATTCACCACAGTTTAATGAGTCGGGGAATACCCAGGTTTTGCACAAAAAGAAAGAAAATGGCCGTAGAGTTTTGAGGTAGACCTTGCGTATTTCGACGTCTGGCAATCGTGCAAGCACACCGTCTTTGGCATTGGCCAGTGACAGGGATGAGCAAAATACATGCAAATATGTATCGAAACACAAATACAAAATACTACGTCAAAAATGTATTTAATTTCAAATCTAATTACATTTCCAAAAAAGCATTGAAGTACAAGATACAAATACAACCAAATGTGTTTGGTCTCCTCCAAATGCTTTTCCAAATACATTCCTCAAAATTTGCGTCAGCGACTTCAGGGCACCTACAACGGGTTTCTGGGTATCTCATTTTAATTTTGCATCGCACACTCGGGAGTTAGTGTGCGAGGCTCTAGTAACATAATAGAAATATAATCACAAAAAAATGTAATCAGCTTGGACGTAATAAATGAAAAAGCACAGAGCTTCAAGCAGCTTTTTTTGCCGATTACATTTTGGTAAAGACCAACAAAGAACCGAAACGACCAAGACGCGCAGCACTAGCCTGAGATTTTTTTATTGTTGCAACTCGCACCACTTTCGAAAATCTGGACGACCCGCTCATTTAGAATGTTCCAGGCAAAAATATGGATGGAAATCAGGCTGGAAAGCATTACAAGTTGTCATAGGCACTTATTTAGCCGGTCTGCCTGTGAACGCCGATTTCGTCACTATTCTTGCCCTGGACTAGCAGCGTAATCACAAAGTCACCAAACGTTTGTGCTTGGTTCAGATACACTGCATTCGGTGCAGAACGTAGTTTTCTTCCTGCTCTGGACAGTGACAATAAATTTGAGGGATGTATTTTAGCCCACAAAATTGTATTTAATTACCATTGTACTTGAAATACCCACGTTTTAGTATCTAAATACACACGAGAAATACATTACCCAATTTGTAATTAAATACCAATGCAAAATACACAAAGTATTTGAAATACGTATTTCAAATATTTGTATTGAAATACTGCCCATCCCTAGCCAGTTATATGGAGCATTTTTCGTCTATCTGATGTCTTGTTTTGTGTGTTTGTTTTTAAGAATAGTAAGGATTGAGTTGCCTGTTATCGTTTGTGGCGTGTTAGCCCCTCAAACGAGGTCGTCAGGGTGGCTAGTTGGAGTGAAGCATTTTGGATCTGTCTGAGTTGTGGATTTCGGTGACCTAGTGAAGAAGAGGTGTTTTCTCTGGTGGAGGGGGTCTCGCCGTATATATAAGAACGTTCATTGTCCAAGTAAACTAGAAGCTGTGTTTGAGAGTTGTTCTTGTTGTTTTTTTTTGTTCTTTTTTATCGTTCTGTGTCTCCGGCCACTATGGAAGTTCTTCACCAGCTCACCGGTGTTTTACCCTTTCTTTGATTTTATTGTCCTGATCAGAATAGAAAGCGCTAAAAAAAACGACAGGACAAAGAGGGAAGTAAACAGGACGAGCGCGTCGTCCTGTTTACTCTCCTTTTTGTCCTGTCATTTTTTTTTTGGCGCTTTATATTCTGATCATGAACCAACTGGTTCAAATTTCTACTTTGCTATTGTCATGAGCATTAGCTATCTGGAGCGTGCCGAAGCCGAGCGTTCCTAGGCTTTGCATTACACGCTCAAATACGTAGCGCACAGAAGCGTATAAGTCTTGTCATGGTGACAACGCACTAACGTCTGGAATGTTCAAGCTCCGCATAGGTGCCTGTCTTCAAATTCTTTCTTTTGTATCCACCAAAAGGCCGCCATTAGCATGTACATAGGATACAAATAGGTGATGATAGATATCAAAGTGGCCAGACTGAATTCCGGAAAGTGTCTATTATGAAGAATTCTTGCGGGAATGGAGGTGTTCGAATTAACGGCACATCACTGCAACGTAGTACTGTACCCGCTCTTGCCAAACCAACTTTGACCGTAGACCTTGGTTTTATATGAAAGAGAGTTTTCAAATCTGCTGACGTTGTGTTCGGGCCAACTGTGTTGTGAAGTAAATCTTGCTCCGTGCTCGACACTAATTTCGCGTTGAAATGTCACTACTGTAAACCGTTTAACCACAGCTTTCTAATGACGCAACATAAGAACATACGCTCCATTAAGGATATTATAAAACAAGCTAGCTGGTGACTGTTCGTGATTATAAAAATAGCCTGATAATCAGGGGCTAAAAAAAACAAGTATACAGAATAGTCAAACACACGATTTTCTATGTTTATACGTGTTTCTCAAATTCCAGTTTTTTACCATTTATACAGTTTAGTAAGTTGGCCTTATTTGTCTGACTTTCAGTTTGATCTCGTGTGTTCTCACGGGCATCTGCCGAGTATGTTGTACTCCCTATGTACAGTGGGCAGCGTCTTGGGGACACTTCTGTTCGGTTTCATGGCGGACAGGTAAGAAGTTTCAATATACTCTCTACCGGTGAACAGCCAATTTCAAGACAGTAAAGTTAGTATTACCGGAAATAAACAGCGCGCACAAAACGCGAACAAGGACAAGAGGGAAGATGCGAACGACGCAAGTGTAACTCCGGCGGGTGGAGCGGGGAGGGGGGGGGGGGGGGGAAGGAGGGGGTTTACAAACCCCGCCTTCTTGCTTGAATACGCCTTGTGGCGGCACCTGTCCCGCACGAGGCCCTAGATAAAAAAAACGCTCACTTATAATGCCGCGTGCATGATCAGGAAGATACGCTTCCCCGTTCATGTAGAAGGTCCGTGTATACCCTTACCCCGAGAGGAAAAGATAAGGAGGCCAGAATGACCTTGCCATGGCCAGCCTCGCTCTCGCTTCCTGTTTCGCCGCCAAATCGCCGCCCGGTTTTCTGCTCGTTCTTTATTTTGCTTGGCACAAGTTCGTCGATTAAACCTTTCTTTTCGGTTAATTATTTATTGCCTCCTTGCTTTACTCCCTGAAAGTTTTGGTGGAGGTGGTTTTCCTTAGATGGAACTGCGAGGCACTGGTTTGAGAACCATGAGGCTTTCTTTGCGTCATGGGACCAGCTGAAAGAAGAACTTCGACGGACGTTCGCCAGTCACCACCGACGGGAGAGAGCCGAGAACCTCCTTCGAGCAAAGACACAGGACGCAAACGGAACCGTCACGAGCTACGTTGAAGCGTATCTTCTACACGCGGCAATATTACGTCTCACTTTCCGATGGAGCCGCTTAAGCAGCGTCAAAAGTGCATCGTGACGGCGCTCGGTGTTTTTTGCGCGTTTGCCATGACCGGCCAAATCAATCAGGCATTGAAAATAATAACCTCGCATCTCGCCGCAATTACTATATGCGATTGGTTTACCGAGATTACATGTTTTAGGGGGCAGAAGGCTTGAATGGCTTCTCCTCATCAAATGAAATAAAAAATCTTAAGCAGGGGACGAGACACGCTTTGTGAACATTGAGAAGGGATTTTCTGTTGATTGAAAGAGTGGGTTTCATCCGTTGATTGTACGAGCTTTGGACATAAAAGAATTTTCCAAGTATAATGTAAAAAAAACCTAATTTTCAACCCGCGTATTTCCGTAGGCCCTTTCGACAGGCGTTCACTTGCGCATCTTTCGTTGCCCGTGGATTTTCCAGGGGCTTGCACACTCGGGAAGAAAGTCGGCGACATCGCTGACCACCCCATTTGGCCAACACCGCGCTTGACCTCGGCGCCGATCAACCGTGGCTGTCGGCGATCTTGCCACTTTCTCACCGATTGTCCTACTAATGACTCGTCTATTAGTGGAAGTGGAACATCCATCAGGTCCAAGTGAAACACTCACGATTTTCGCATAATTCCTTTTTTTTGCGCGAATCATCCTTTCAATTTTGGCTTTTAAAACTATTGCCAATATAATAAACGACCACCTCTCATTGATATTGTCACTAATGAAGGTGACGACAAGACGGACAGTGAACTGAAAATAAAGGTTTAATTGGCGAAATTGTAAAAATCAGAATAAGTAAAAAAAGAGCGTCGAGGTAGCAGAAAAGCGGGCGGCGATTCGGCGGTGTATAAGAGAGCGAAAGCGAGACTGACTCGACAAGGTCGCAGTCAGCTGCTTATTAACTACAGTGCGTCACTACCTCGAAAGTCCGGCCAAGAAGGTTCGAGAGTCGCGCCCTCGGGGCGAGGATGAACTGACACTTTCGAGAACAAGCAAGCAGAGCGAAGGTTTCGTCTGGTGCAAGAATGAACGGGAATCTTCTAGAAGTCCGTGACCAAGCGTTGCTTTCTCGGCCCTGCGGGTGGCAATGTTACGGTTATGGATTTGCGCTAATACTGAAAAACCTTTGCTGCAGTGAAATGCATTTTTAGGACCACATCATAAATGGCGTCACCATGCTTATCTGTTCTCTCGTCGCAAGATATTACAAACGCTAATAAACAGGGTCACAAGAAGTCGCAAGTGTGTGAACCAGAATTTAGAGTGTCTGTTTTTGGTCTGAAGGGCGTATCTGTGGAAAATGACATTTAGGGAAATAGCGCAATCTCTACCGATAGGTGCAATGTTCGCCAGTCACACGACGGCACTATGATAAGAAAAAGTGTGTATGGCTCACCGCATTAAAGCAGGGTGTACCTCACACTTTACCAGATAACTCTATAGAGATAAATGGGCCGCCTTACGAGTTATTCAATTTTATTGAACAACTTCCAGAGCATCTCCACTAAATAAAACACGCAAGTGTTACGCATTGAAGAACGAAATAATATTTAGATAAGCTTAAACTGCTTCAATGATTTTTTTTTGCACTCCGTGTGGCACTTTATAGCATCGCTCAGGCAAAGCAGTAAGCACTTTATAGCATCGCTCAGGCAAATTTACTTCATAGTTTTTTGTAGTTGTTTTTCACAAACTGGGCCACCATACAGTCATCCAACTGACCTAACTCTGATATATCAAGTGTTTTACTTTCCAGTGGTATTGTTATGTTTTGCTTTTACCCATCCCCTACTGAACCCCTGACTGAGAAGAATAGTGTTAAATAAGTATATGCATAGCACCTGTTTGCTGCCTTCCGAGTTAGGATAAGATTACCACTGAGCAATGTTGACTGCGTATTACTCTAGTGAGTAGAATGCACGTTCGTGAATTTTCTTGAAACAAATAAGGTACCCAAATTGCGCTAATTACCTCCCTGTACCACGTAGAGTTAAGTTAACGTGGTGTTTGTATTGTAGCAGCTCTTGCCAAATAATGTGGAAAAAGTTCGGCTAGCGTAGCGTTTTACGATACATATTTTAGGAAACTACTAGAAGGGTAAGTTCACAGTGATTGTAGCGAATTCTTCGTCAGTAGCCGTGCTACCAACTGAGGAACGGTTCAACCTATTTCAGGGCTAATTCAATCGATATATGTTTTTTAGAACGTAGTTTGGCGGCATCTTCCAGCTATTTCCCTCTCATTTGGGTACAAAACTTTGCATGCTTCAGAAAAAAAAAGTCAAAATTCTTAATGACTTAACCAAACGACCTACACTCTAAAAAAAAGCCCGTGCGTCTGCTTTCCTGCAAAACACTCGGAGAGACAATCACCGCAACCTACGCAGGCAGCTCAGCAAATAACGATGATGAAACATATGTTTAGAGCAAAAAGCGCAGTCTGAGTTGTGACATTAAGCAATGCAAGCGTGACGTTTTGCATTGCTTAATGTCACAGCTCAGACTGCGTTTTTGGGTCTAAACATGTGTTACGGCACCGTCATTCGCTGAGCTGCCTCTGTAAATAGCGGTGATTGGCTCTCAGAGTGTTGTGCGGGAAAGTAGACGCACGGGCTTTTTTAAGAGTGTAGCAGTTTTGAATGAAAATCATATTCAATACTCTAGAAGCATATCTTTCTATGTGCTTTTTTCAAGTGTGTAAGTGTCACGACACAATTTTGTCCTACGTTTTATAGGCTTGGACGCAGGATTACCTTCCTTACTCTTGCTATCGTGGCACTGATCACTTCTTGTGGTGCGACCCTTTCTGGAAATTTCATTTTCTTCGCCGTTCTTCGAGTCCTGACCGCAACACTGGATCCTCAACTTGAGCAGATTCCCTACATAATTAGTAAGTTTATTTTTACCATGAAACGTTCGCCAGGATAAAGGTAAACCCTCAATAAAAGCGTGGCGCCGAGGCTCTACACCAGTGGTCTCAAACTCATTTGAGTGTGGGGACCAGATTGACCAGGAAAAGGGAGGGGGGGTAAAACGATTTGAAAGAGAAGAGACCTCGCGCTCTGTTTTTTATAACCTCAGTTTTGGCAGTGACATTTTTAGATTCGATTTGTTTCTGTGACTACTTGAGGCCCTGACATGATGTGATGACAATAATTAAAATGACACGGCCCCGCCAACGTGCCCGCATTTTTATAGAACATGAGAACAAGCACACTGTCGTTCTCGTTGCTCAGTCCACTCAGGAATAATTATGTCTCTAAAACCAATAAGTTACTTTGACAGCTCTTGCTTTCCAGGCGATTTCTATTACAACACCCATACTTGTTTCAGAGCGCAGCTCTTAGACATCCGTTTCCGGTTTGAGCGGCGTCCGCGTCCCCGTCGCCGTCGTCGTAATTGTGAGGTCAGATGACCCCCCAGTTCACGTGACCCCCCTTGGGCACGTGACTCCCCCCTACGTCGCCTGACCCCCTAAGGTTAAGGAGGGAGGAGGGGTATACCCTCCCCTCAGTACCGTACCCTGCTCCTCCTCAAGATCTGCGTTGTAAACGGCTTTCTTTTTTTTTTTAATGGTGATATTTTTAAAGCGATAATCCCGAGCTCGTATCTTCATCTTCGCCAGTTGCTCTTGCTGATCGAGAGTTCACTCAGCCGAGATGCATCCTTTAACAAAGAGCTCGCGCCTGCAGCCTAGTAGCGGAATTGTTGTACTTTATAAAATTCTGAGAAGCAAAAAAAAAAAAGCGAAAACAAAGAGCAAATGAACACAGACGAGAAAAAATTATGTAAATACGTTCAAAGAGCGGAGCTACTTTTCAAGCATTCGGGACATGGCAACCGGGACTCGTGACCGGTTGCCTGTGGGCCGTGCACCAGCGAGTCACGGGCCGCGTGTTTGAGAACCCTGCTCGACACTGATGGGCCTTGAGCAGGGGGGAGGAGGAAGGGCATCGCAGTAAAGAATCGTTTGCGCCAGGTGCGAATCCAACGCAGGCCATTGAGATTATTGCGCGAGTGTCTATCCAGCATGTCACGACAGATCGCCGTAAGTTGAGGTGCCATTCGGCAGGAAAGCTCTGCGGGGCATCCGCTCTTCGTCTGACAGTTTGCAACTCGGCACCCTGCCACATGTTTCAACGTGAAACGTTCTTTGGCCTGGTGGCCGGCATCTCGAGAAGCCCCGTTAATTCAAAAGTGAAGCCTGGATAAAAGCGTTGCCGCGAGGCTCGACACTGATTGGTTCGCAGATTTGAGAGCAGGAAGAAGGTGCTTGACGCTGATTGGTTAACGGAAAGGTCCAGTGACCATAGGTGTAGTGGAGGGGGAGTTAGGAAAGCGAGGAGGAGCTCGAATACCTGTGAGCACTGATGAAGAGCAGCTCGAGATTGTGGAATGCTCTGAAAGATCGTCAGGTTTATTAGTTAGCCGGATTAGCGGTAGTATCGCTTCAGTCTAGGGAAAACTATCAAGTGTACACATGGTACTCGTTCAACTATATGTGAAGAGCGCTGTGAAAGTAGGCATCTGGCACCTCAAAGCTCAAAGTGTCTCTAAAAATGCGTTATGCTATAACGCTTCACGTATGCAACACAATTGCTAATATTTTTTTTTTATTTGCTATAAACCCTAAAGGTCATTTCTCCGACGAAAATGGTATGCTTTGCAGATGGTTTTGTGAAACAAAACAAACCCTTTGCTTTCAGGGATCATGACCACTAATCATATATGACCTGGATTTATGTGCCTGGGAAGTCGGTAAAGTTGTAAATATGAAGATTCCCTGGCCTAGTGCATTTATATTCGCGTCATAGTGAAAAACAGCGCAAAACAGACGGGACACAAAGCAGAAGAAGGACACAGGATGTACGCTGTCCTTCTACTACTTTGCGCTGTTTTTCAATATGTCGTTCAACCAACCAGTTGAGCAAACTACCCTGTTATATTCGCGGTAGAAAGCATCCACTAAATATTTTATCAGAATCAAGATGAAAACATTTTATCAATAAAATTAAAGCACCATTTTCGATGCCCGGGAGAATCAACGAGTCCTCTCCCAGCTACTGGAAGCTCTAAGCAAATATTGAATTGAGGCTTCCTGCGTGGCCCTTCTCTGAGATCGAATCGGCAAACATATTGATGCCCAGTTATCAATGTTATCGTTTGCGGTCATTGCCAAAGTATATTAGCATCATCTTTGAAAGTCATAAAATAATATACTCTTTGTTATCAACATGGCAGAAGCAAAGATCCTGCATTTTTTTATCGAAGGTTACCTAGAGTGCTTCTGTCGTTTGTTTTATTAATGGGATTTTACTTTCCTCCTTTTGATGACGCTTTTACGCTGCTTGTCAGTTGCAGTGTTTAAATTGTGTATTATCAGGCAGTGTATTCTTTTAAAGACATGAAATGTTTCTTTTAATGTTTCACGAATATTATTCTGGTATTTATGGGAAAATGAAGATGCGAAAAGTTCATTGTTTAACAAAAACGAATTTCCTTCTAATGATGTAAGTAATTATATAAAATGAAAGGCCCTAGTAAACTGCCAATGATAGTAATACAGCATTTTCACTGTTTTTCATTTCTTGGACATTATACATATACTTATATATAAAAGCAGAAAGATAAACAGGTGACAGTTTTTTTTTTCTTGCGGAATATCTAATTGAGCGTCTGAAGTCTTGCAGAAATGAGCACTGGCCTGTCTTCCATCAGAGGTGTCTCTGTACAACAATGCCAGATGCACACATTTTTTATATCATGTTTAAGTTAATACTTTAATATTCAAAAAAGGTCAAACTTGATGACCCCGGTTGTGCGTGCAAGTCCGAATACGCCATCTCATGATCACAAGCCCCGAGTGGCCGTGTGCTACGGCTAACACAACACATTTGTAAGATTTGTTGGTGGATTCTGGTGGATATACGAGGGCGGTCCGATAAGTACTTAGCTTCACCACCCAGTGGCGCCACTATCGCAAGAAAAATGTACTATCGTGTAGTAAATTCTCGTAGACAGCTACTATTGAAATTTCAACCAAATCGGACTCGCAGTTTTGTTTTGACCGCATGTGGAAGCGGGCGTGGCCGTGAATTTTAAAAAAATGGAAAAAGAGCAATATCGGTCGGTGACTCGATTCTTGTTTTTGGAAGGGAAATCGTGCAGTGAAATCAAAGAGCGCTTAGATGCTGTGTACAGTGACTCTTCTCCTTCGATGGCGACCGTCAAAAATTGGTTTAACAAGTTTCAACATGGTCGCACGTCGGTTTTTGAAGAGTCACGCCCAGGTGCCCTGAAAGCGGCTACCATGGAGGATAATGTGACAAATATCCACAATCTCGTATTGGCAGACCGCCGATTGAAGGTGCGTGAGATAGCTGAGACAGTAGGCATCTAAAAAAAACGCGTGGGTCATATCCTGCATAAAATTTTGGGCATGAGAAAGTTGTCGGCGAGATGGGTGCCGCGTTTGCTCACTCCGGACAACAAGCGCAACCGTGAGACCACTTCGGAGCAGTGTTTGACGCTGTTTAAGCGCAATCCGAAGAAGTTTCTGCGTCGTTTCGTGACCATCGACGAAACATGGATTCATTGGTACACACCAGAGACCAAGGAACAGTCGCAACAGTGGACTTCACCCGGCGAACGTGCTCCGAAGAAGGCGAAGACTGTCCTATCGACCGGAAAGATGATGGCCACCGTTTCTGGGATTCACAAGGTGTGATCTACATCAACTACCGGGAGAAGGGAAAAACGCTCACAGGGCTGTACTATGCCGAATTATTGGGCCGATTCGACACCGAATTGCAGAAAAAACGGCCCCATTTGGCGAAGAAAAAGTGCTCTTCCACCATGACAACGCACCGGCTTACACTTCCGCCCTCGCCACGGCCAAATTGGTCGAATTGGGCTACGAACTGCTGCCCCATCCACCGTATTCTCCAGATTTGACCCCGTGGGGCTTCTTTTTGTTCCCAGATTTGAAAAAAGTTACTCGCCGGGAAGAAATTTGAGTCGAATGAGGAGGTCATCGCCGCCACGGAAGAATACTTTGCAGACCTCGAGAAAACCTATTTTTAAAATGGGTTACAAAAGTTGGAGCATCGCTGGGTCAAGTGTATCGAACTTAAAGGAGACTATATTGAAAAAAAAATCGCCGCTTTTCCAAAACTTTTTGTTTTTCTTTTGTAGGCTAAGTACTTATCGGACCACCCTCGTAAATAAAGGTATATAGCTTTCGAAATGGTTGGTAGGTTTGTCAAATATCGAGCAACAATGTTTATGCAGCGTGTAAGGCCTCTTGTACATAAGGGCATCGCAATCTTGTAAATTTTCAAAGAATTCAGAGAGACTTTTTAATTACCTTTTGCCGCTTACTTCCTCAGTGTTACAACCAGGTGCCACTTCTTGGTAGGTCGTATTTAAAGAACATTTTGTATTTGAAAGAACGTGTCAAGTTATTTAGGAATAAATTCTGTCGGCAAGTATATTCGAAAATTTATTGGTGTGCAAGGAAAAGATATATAACAAAGACTGTGATACTCTTAAATACTAAACTTTCCGCAAGTGCCAGTTTTTTTTTATAAAAAAATATTTCCTGACAACGACTTTTCTAAATTATTACCGCATGTCTACGCAATTAAATTATTATCCCTCCAAATTAAACATGCCACGTGTTTTAAATAAATTTCACTGCTAAAAATAATGTTTTAAACATTAATACGTAAAGTGGCTATACAATGTCTAATTATTCATGGATATTTTCCAAAACAATAAAAGCACTACCAAAACATAAATCTAAAAACAGCAAAAATTATACCGTAATATTAAACTTTTTCGGTTTTATGCTTTTCAAACAGGTATCTGCCAATTAAATGAACTTTCTATCCAAATGTGCAAAGAAACCTGATGAAAACTTTGGAGTGGCAGCAGACGAATCCTTAAGAAACATAAACTGTTACGGGCTAACTATTTCATGACAAATATTTGACTGCCTATGTGAGCTTCCCAGGTTTTCTTGCAAGGGTTTCCAGACATACATATGAGTACTTTCCTATTATATTTCGTTCCGTGGTATCCTAATTAAGGAGGCTGTTATGCTTTCTTCTAAACAAAACTAAAAAATTTGCTTTTGTTTAGGAACCAGCAGTGTTGCTATCCAATTGTGAAATCAGCAGTTTAGTTTTTCTAAAGGCTCACTAAATGCCGGAATCCGGTCAGGGGATGTTAGCAAACTCTACAACTCCCATTTGCAGCCTTAGTGCTCTCTCGCCTTCTAACGCGGTTATGTTTCAACCCTCCTCAAGTACAGTCAGCGGTTGCTTTGGGGAGTGCTCAGCAACAAGTGGAATGCTCTTCGTGCCAAGGCGCACTGTGATCAATACTCCCGGTTGTTACAACGAAATTTCCAACTACTGCCTGAGACCGCTGCGACTTCGAACACTATTTCTAGAATCGAAAGGTGTCATTGCCGCTTTTGCACCTAATCCACCAACCGTGCGTGGGGGCCTTCAGGTCCCGTGCTAACCTGCACAATAAAAAAAAATATATTTTTTTTTCAACAGGTAGAATTATAGCGTTTACTGGCTTGTCAAATAAAGAGCCATGATGAGGTAGCCGGTATATCAGTCAGCGATGCCATCTCTCTATACCTGCGCACCATGTGAACAATATCACAAGACATTTTTTTTTTTTATAACTTAGCATTTTCTTTCTCTCATCTTTGTTCTTTCGTCCTTTCTTGTTGTCCGTGCATTATATGTTTGGGATCCGGTACGTTTCTAATATCACACTAAGACCTTCCGATATCACCCGCATTTTCTTCTTGAGCTACGATACGCATTACACTTGCATACCTTTCAGCAAAAATTAGAAATAGTTTGTGAATGCTTCTTTTTAATTTACTAAACCGGACTCATTTCGCAAATTTTATTTCGTGAACACTCACAACCATTCGGGACGTGGACGGCACCATGCAACGTTAGTTGCTGGGGTTGTTGACGCGGAGACGGTGCACCTAAAAAATCCATCCTACTTCATTCCCTTGTCCAGTGCTAGAACTGGTAGGCCCGGACCAACGTACTCTGATGATGGGAGTGTCATGCCTAAGCTGGACCTTTGGCATGTGTATACTTCCTCTGGTGGCGTACCTCAGCAGGACCTGGTTCGTTCTCTCCGCCATCACGGCAGGAGGCACAATTCCATTCATCTTATATTGGAAGTGAGTATAGTGGCTTTCGTTTTAAAATGAACTCGCGGGCAAGTTGTTTACAAATAAAGAAAAAAAAAAAGCGCAAAAGGCAAGTACTAGTAAAAGGAGAAGACAGAACGCAGTGCACCTATCTTGCCCTCTTTCTGGGGTAGTCAGGGGCAGCCTTACAAACGCATAGCGTGGCGCGTTCCGATCATATTATTATTGCTCCCTAACCAATGAGATTCCGGCATTGGCCAATAAGAATGATAAGATAAGGATGGCGGAGCAGAAAGCGCGAACGTATTAAGTTCGCTCTGCGTTCCTTGGTGATTATATATCTATTTCTTTCGGTCAGGGGGCGCCCTAGCGTCCAGGGGACTGCAGGAGATGCGACCACAAAAGAGGCATCTCCGCTAGCTTCCGCGAGACACGGTTATTTGATGCTGACGTCAGGCGGTGTCGTAGCGTCCCTTCATGCACGATTCATTCATATTCAAAAAATATCTCCTATCAGCGTCCCTCAGTATATGTCCACAAACGCTAAGAGGGCGCTTGCAAGGACGCAAAGCGACGCACGACGGAAACGCTGCCTAAATATATTCGATTTTGCTCGCCAGGTGCGCTGCTCAAAAGCTGGGAGCTACAGGTTTATAGTATTTGTCTTTCCGCTGCGTTTCTTTTTTTTTTCTGTAATAGCCTACAGTCTAGGCTCTATAAAACTGTTGGTTAGTTCACGGTCCTGCACAATATGGAAACAGCCAATCACAACGAACAATCCTTCCTACGAAAAACACAGCTCATTACATGATTTGATCGGAAAAAACGCTATATGCTCAGCGACAACCACCATGTGAAATATAAAATAATCACCGTTCCTTCGTCCATCAATTTTTTTTTATATTTTTCTTGCCTGATTTTTTCTTTTTTTTACATTTGTCACGTGCTGGGGTTTTTGTATTGTTCGCCGCAATTCGGTAAATCATCTTCTGCAGGAAAGCGAATTTGCGCTCGCTTTGGTTAAAGTGTAGTAGTACATTTTTGGAACGTACTGTCATGGCGTAGTTAGGGCCGCTATGCACCACAGCGATTTATTTGCCTTTGGGCTTTGAAAAAGCCCGATCTGAGCGAAGTGCAAACTTATCATTTGGCATAAATGATGAAGCTTGTTTATCTAAACTTCGCGAATCGAAGATTTCTGGTGGAAGGTGAGTGCGACATAAAGGATAAAGCCCAGTCTTTATAAAACTTCATAAATTATGAAGCTGTTTTAGTGTTTTTCACCTTAGCAGTGTTTTCTCTGTTTTCATAAAAATATGATGTCACATGGTCATCTTAATTTATTTTAAACTTATGTAATAACCGCGCCAGTGTGTCGCTTTTTTCCAAATGAAGATATTCCCTATAAATACTGTGGTTCAGCTGAGTTCTGGTTAAAATGTTTTGATCTGGTTACTTTCTTATGCAAAATCGTACAAATTTATGGCTTTAAGAAATTGAAACTCGAGATTTAGTTTCACACCCATAATGCAAATATTTTGGTTCAACCCAAACAAAAAGAGGCGGTGTTTTTTTTTTTTTGTTTCCTCCATTACAGCAGCTATTTAACTAAAACACACACCAACAGAAGGTTAGACTGACGGCGCACTATAAGACAAACAAATATGGCGCAATTTACATAATTCCTGACACGAGATTTCTGTCTTTCTTGCCTTATATGTACAAAGAAACACTTTATGTTTAAGCTCACAAAGGGGGCCGACATTCCGCTAAGCCAAGTGACTTGGCCTCTGCTACCATAATTTGAGAATCTCTGGGAGGTTTATTTTCTGCGTTCTACGTGCTTTTGTTTATTTCTGCTGCCATCATTATTTATACACTATATGGCAAATATTATGTCTGCACCCCTAACATTTCTTCTTTCTTTTCCATCAAACCAAACATAATTATAATATGGTTAATATTTCACAATTAAATATATTTCAGTTTATCTACGCAAGCATTGGACTTACTCCCGGCAGCGTCACATTTTATATACTGGAATATGCAAATACCACTGCATTGACGACGTCCTTCTTGACCCTCTTCGTTCCAGGTTTCTCACAGAGTCGCCAAGGTGGCTCTTGTCTCAAAACCGGCTCGCGGAAGCTTCAGCTGTTCTTAGAAATATCGCGGCCAAGAATGGAGTTCGACCTCCAGCTGACCTAGATAGTAAACTGGAGGTAATACATCCAATCTTCTTTCGTTGCCTTCGCGAGCATTCCTGTCGACGCCGCTGCGTGCGCTACAACCAACAATGGCTGAGAAATCGAACGGCTTGAGTAAAGTTCTTATTAAGCGCCTTTTAGTGTACAGCCTCCAGATGTGTTTACATTATCGCGCGAACGGCGACCGACCGGTAGATCAGGGCCTGATCGCGAAATGAAAAAGCAGGTCGGCGAGACTATACGCGCGCGGCAGAAGGTAGCAGAAGAAACACGCCTAGCCCCGCCGACTTGATATTTCACGTCGTGATAAGGAGCCGATCTACCGCAAATCGTGTTCGCGCGATTTCGTTAAAGAATCTGTAAGCTGTACACAGCTCCTCACTTATTAGATCACGTACGATACATGATGACAAATCATCGTCGCATTCAAATTTCGGCCTGGTCATAGCAGAGTGATAATGTAGATAAGTGTTTAATTTCTCACATACAAACAAAACAACGCTGCGGTGTTAAGCAGGTACCAAAGAATGACCAAAAAAGTATACATTGACGATTTTAGTTTTGATATATTTTGTGGTTATATTTTATTGATTGGCACGACGCCAAACCTCGGAGCAGCACAAGTTCACATTAGGGGGACATCTAACTGTACGTGGTGTTATTAGACGTACAGATCACGTGCTATCATTGGTATTTTGTTATATTAGTAATATGTATCACTGTGCTTAAGGAAAGGAGGGTTAGTGAAATGTCATAAATTAAACAGTATTTTTACACAAAGGCCCTCGGACAGTAGGCGGAGAAGGGTAATGTCGCTGCACGACGAGCTTACGAAGAGAAAGTCTTCAAAGGACGCTATGACAATACAGCAGTGAATTTTCGCATTGTATAACTTTGACTTGAAGTAAAGCTTTGGATCGGAAACCATGAGGAGGAGACTAGAAAGGAGCCACCGGTTCGGTTTTCGGGGTTGTTCTAGCGCAGCCTCAAGGTTGCGAATGTTGTGTACAACGAGGCCATTATCCTGTAAAATTGGGAAGTAAACCCGCAGGAGCCGTGACTAAAATATGAGCACAACGTTCTCCAAGTAAACCTATGATTAGTACCATTAAACATTCCAAGAAAATAACTTACGGGCCTTATGGTTTGTGAGAAAACTAATAATAGTGTCCGAAAATCGATAAAGTATTGCCAATATTTTAACTTGCCACAAACTCACGCTAAAAAAAAATCTGCTGAAGAAATAAATTTGCGTTTTAACTACTGAAACGAGTGTCTATTTAAATGCAGAGGAACAAACGACTGTTCAGTCTTTTTATGCACCATGTGTGAACCAGTTTTTTTAAAAACAATTGTTCTGTTTCATGACTTGAACAATTAAGAAATATGACAATAGAGTAAAGAATACACAGTGATCAACTCTAAATAATTAAACCGTCATAATCTTGTAGATTATTTTACAAAGGGTATAAAAATTAAGCTTATCTCATGCTAATACGCGCTCATTATTGTTGTTTCAATTAACCTTGTGGAAAACCAACTTTATTTCAAATTAAGAAACCTGACATAAGCTAGACACTTCGACCGTTACAAAAAAAATTAAAAGTCGCTGGAAGAATAATTAAGGCGCGCTCACACCGGCGATGGGCAGTAGTCGCGCGATAACTTTCATCGCAAAAGTGACCATAGCGGGAAGAAAGCGACACGTTTCGAGCAGTCTTTAGCTGACCCAACTTTCTGCCATGCGATCTAGTGTCGGAGAGGCTGAGCGAGAGTTTTGGAGAAGTGACTCGCTCATCGCTCGATGCGACATAGTCGCATCGCGCGAGTACTTTACATTGCCGTTGTGAACGCGTCTTTAGACTACTATGAATAGATTGACTTCTAACATGTCTGATTTTTTTTTGCAGAGAGTGCAGCTGCAGATAAGCGCAGAACAAAAGTCAGAGGAATCGGCTTCAGTGCTAGACTTGATTTCTAAACCCAATTTACGGAAGAACTTACTAATCCTTTCGCTGCTTTGGTGAGTAATATTCTACAACACATGTTCAACCTCCAACTTAGAGTACCTTTTTAAGGACGTAAAGAATGTAATAAAGGAAACATGATCACAAACTGATCTTTATATTCCTCAATAATTTGCTTTTCTCCGTGCACTTCCTCGTGCATTTTCCTATGCATTGTTAGGTGTTATGAATATCATATTTGGATCTGCACAGATATAAAATCACGTCTTTTGTGCGCACTTGCCGAGCAAACAAAATGCACAGCTACAAGGATGTTTTACATTGTCCGGATATTTTCTTCTCAACCAGAAGCAACTGGCATAGGTCTAACTGCGAAGTAAACTAAATCCTCAGTTTTTAATTAGCCTCCCTGAGCAAATATTTCATTATTTCTTTGTAAATATGCTTGTTTTATCTTCTACGGGTTTAAAAAAATATTACTGTTCTCTTCCCCTTTATCAGTGCATTCCAGCAATAACGCACGTCAAAATTAAACAGATTCAAACAAACTGTTTTACCGCATTGTTGAACAACATTAAATACACCCGTTTTGAAAGTGAGCGTTATTATTATAATCAAATTTAAACTGTGTAGCAGACAAACAAATTGTATTCTTCGCATATCAGAATTATTGTCCGAGCAGATGTTGCAATTGTCAAAAAACGTATCTTAGCAAAACATGCGTACTTTCTTCATTGCTTTATTACAATAAAGGTAACCTAGACATTATAAAAAAATATCGGGCATAGCACAGTTCAGCAAACCAATAGGTAAAAAATGGGATAGCATCATAAAAAAAGAAGTCGTACTAAAAATTGGCTTCCTCGCGTCAAACCGGCAGCAAGGCTATTTCGATTACCCCCTTCGCATTGTTTCTGCGCGTCCAACACGCTTTTGGTAAAAGAAACCGGGGAATCCTAAAATATTAATATTCTAAATTCCAGTATAGCAATAGATGAACACAAAACAAAGAAAAAAAAGTTAGGGAGCACACGCCGAACGCAGCTAATTTACGTTCTGTTTAAAACAAGTTATGTACAGAAGAGTATTCGGTAATGTTATGAAATTCTCGCTATTATGGAATAATTTAAAATAATTCGCTTTCCATGCAGCTCCCCGGCAGTCCTCATGAACAGGTCTGAAGATTGTCAATTTCTTGGGCCATATTAACGGCACCTGAAGGTTTAAAGGATCGCTAATTGTTAGGGAAACAGGCGAACACATGGGGATCATGCCTGTTTACAAGTGTCTGGTTTGCAGGACCTACGAAAGAATTCTAGTAAATGTACTTTTATTTTGTTTATTAACGAGCCGGAGATATCATACATACAAAAAGTTGAATCACCGATTTTAATCTTACTTATATACTATTCCCATCATCGTGTATGTAAATTCTACAGATTTTGTAATATTATTTACGAACTGGTCGTGGTAGTAGCACTGTATCTCTGGTGATTTGCTATCGGAAAGGAAAAGTCAGACAACTATTCTTTGGGCTCACAGTGCCGTATTCTCGCTTGTTCTTGTGTCTTGCCAGCTGTTGTCTGTCTTAAGTAATTTCTTTCATAAAAATGTATGTAGGCCTATGCTGTGTAGACAGTGATAAAAAACGATTTTGGTTTAGTAAAGAAAGAGAGCGATTTGCTTACGGCGACTGGACTTAACTGGACTGGACTCCTAATCAGTGGCGTAAATCCACACGAATTCCTAGGGGGGGACATGACGAAGTTTGCGATTTCCATTTGAAAATAGGCTTACTTTCAATTGGAAATCTTTTCCCATAAAAAAACAAAAAAAACAATTCCTTGTCAAAAAGAAAGTACAGGTTATTAATTACGCCTAAAGTTCATTTAACAGAGGCAGCTTTTTGGGGTATTATATAAAGGTCACGGTTTCACGTACCGTAGTAAACCGTAGTAGGCGACGTGCGTCATCATCACGTGATGGATATCATAGTGGTCAAGCGCAACTTAATTTGACAGTCCTGTTTTCGTTCGATATTGACATTAATCTTATAGCCTTCCTGGTTTATAATGCTGTATCCTCTCTCCGTCTTTTTTTATAAAGTTCGTTCTGGCAGTATTTTAAGTACACCTCTGACAGTGGCCTATATTTAGTCTCGAAAAAAAAAATAGAGAGGAAAATGCCAGAGTAATTCGGGCATATTTACGGTATTTACACAAAATGACATTTGAAAATCGGCGATTCATCTCTCGGTCTGACTCTGAGCGTCACACGTAGCGTGCGTGGGGAGAATGAGGGGAAGGGGGTGATTGGCTGATAGCTCAAATGTCATCCGGTGTAAATTACACAAGATATCCCGTCTGACAGTGGTGCTAATTATATTATTTTTAATGGTGCCTAGCTTGCTCAAACTGGGCCAGTGACAAATTTAATATGTTCGTAGTATAGATGGGTTGCACGTGACGTCACGAAAGTACGAAGCGGGTCTCCACCTCGTTATAGGGGTTTGCTCAGGTTGGTGCATATACGTCCTCATGGTGTAGCTGCCGCCAGTGGCATCGATACACAGCCGTTTCCAGGTTATTTTTGACTTGCGAACTCATAATGGCGTAAATGTACACACGCGTACTATCGACAGTCCTGCTGCGCCAGTGCTAAAATAGTCGCCGGCGTCGAGCGAACGCGTTACGATAAAAATGTGGTAATATGCGGCGGGAAAGAAGCGATGTGCTCGCCAGTCGAAGCGACCGTAATCGACGCGAATGTATACCCCAAATTGAGAGAGTTTACTAACGAAGAAACCCTTGTTGGCGCGGCAGGTTCTGTACCAAACAAATGCTTGAACGAACGCTGCAAAACTTTAAAAGCCATCATCAGAATCCCAATCTAGCAGTCAAATTGGCGACTTTAAAAAGAAAAAAAGTAGCACAATTTAACTTTTAGCAAGTCAGAGGACTTTTAGGAACCATATCACAAAAAGCTGTCAATTTGCGTGTGTGCCTTAAGAAAGAATTACCAAAATTACCAATTATCCGCTTAGTGAATTGTAAAACACAAAGCAACTAGATCGCGAGCTCCGCGCTCTGACTATGTTACTGCAAAGATCGGTTGAGCGACCGTCGGAAGTTCAGATGAATATGTTGCGAGCAAAAACAGGCCGATTTGACGCATGCGTAACCCATGTATAGAAAAAAAAATATTAAACAATTGTCGTCCACAAAAAAATATAGATATACATAAGGTCATGAAACGATCAGTAAACAAACGTTTTGTACTCACTAACTGAAGTTTCAGACGTGCGTTGCCGCTTTGAAGGCTCACAATCAACGCCTGACTTCCCTCAAAATTGAGACATTCGCCTCTGCTTCTAGGAGATATCGGAGATCACGCCACGTGCTAGCCTAGAGTCATGCTAAAAAAAACATTGCAGCCGCACTGTTGCTGCCAATGCGGTAAGGCGAAGCCACGCGGGTGGTACTGAAGCCGAAATAGGGTATGAACACGATAAGCTCCAGCCCTTTTTATATGTTCACCGAACTGCCGGGTGCCTGTAGAGTTGAAAAGAAAAAGGAAAACAAAAGAGTACAAACTTTGGTCGGTTCGCAGACGTCCGGACAAAAGAGAAAGAGAGAATTATTAAAATTTGAAAATTTGACTAGGAGTATGACGAAGGAGTTACCCAATACTCATTTTAGAAATTCGCAATACACACCTAACCAAACTTGGGATGCGTTTGGTAGTTTTCAGGTCACATATACTGATCCCGCAAACAAGCTTAATATCCCATTATTGACTACAACCCAGACACCGCGACGGAAAGGACGGACAAACATAAAGTCTCATACATAGCTGAAGTTTACTGTTCAACCATCACGACCTCGCTTGCGCCCTAACCTTCTGTTCATCGAACCCCAATTTCCTTTCGCCGTATACGCTAAAGCGCTGCCGATGCTACATGCCGCGTCAGAAAGTAACGTCACTGCATGTGTCGTCTTTTATCACCGGCTAAGCCGATCAACTGCTGCGAATATAACTTCACCTTCCGCTTTGGTCTGTGCATCCCCGTATGTTTACTCTATAGCCGTTGACTGCGAGCTGACGTTCATTAAAGGGAAGTAATCTTGGGGGACAAGATTGCCTTGGATCTGTCGCCATCAGCCTCCAACAAATGAGGTATAAACGAATCCTAACAAATGTGTCTCCAAAATGATAATTTGCGATTAAGAAATATATTTTTCATCCTTCTCTTAACAAAGATAATCATTATGTCAATAAAAACTGAAATGGTTGACGATCTCGGTACAGCGTAACGTGACAAGGTATGGAAGGGACGTGGGAGCTGCTTATTTGGAAAGCCTATTTTGCGTAACTGCGAGCCTCCCAGGTTTGCTAGAATCAACCACTTAATCCACTGGAAATGGGGAAGTGGACACTACTAATATTTAGAGCACAACCGACCTTATACTTTCGGGGTACCTCTTTCCTTCTGTAGCGAAAGCGACCGCTACAGTGGAGTGGCTTCTGATCAGTGGCATGTTTAACTTCTAAGCTGATCAGTGCCTTAGAAGACATGTCTTTCTTTTGTTCGCTTGCCACCAGCCACCGAGTACAGAGTCGAGTCAGCTGAACTCAAACGATTTTTTCATGTCTCAAGTTTCTTCTTAGCGTTTTTGTTTGCAGCTACTCCTAATGCCTTGATCGAGAAGAGGTCTTGAATGAACCAAGACGACACTGCCTTATTCTTAGGATCAGCAACAGCTGCTCCTATGGCGGTCTGCACATCAACGTGGAAAACCTGAGTGGGAATCAGTTCCTCAACTTCTTTTACCTGGCCCTGGTCGAAATTCCGGCGAACCTGGCTGCCTGGTGGTGTATGAACTACTTCGGCCGTCGCTGGACCAGCGTCTTCTTCCATCTCCTATCCGCCGCCTCCTGCATAGCACCGGTTATTGCCCCCGAGGGTGAGATGTGTACTCTCAGCGACAGGTATATGCGTATCATGCGTAGCTTTTAGGTCCCTGTTGATGTTCCTGGAAATCATCATCAGAATCATCTGTTTACTTATGGGCTTATGAACAACGTGATTGCCTTGATTATTTTCCACACAACAAGGATTACGCATTCAGAGATGCTAAAGCCCGCTCAATGGTGAAATTCGACTAACGTTTTTAGCGTTGCGTTTTCGCACTCTTCAACTGCATTTAAAATGTACATTCCTGGCCAGTGTTGCGAGAAAAATGAGTGCCTTGTTTGCTTGGAAAATGGAGTGTGGATGTTCTCCGAAAATGCTTTGATCCTGTTCACTCAAGGAATTTCCAATGGTTAAACGTAGAGATGCGCTAGATTGAGGGCATGGAGGGCAGTAAGATTCAGTGTAAAGGAAGGACGAAATAAACATTTCCTGTGGTGTACCACATATACTTCAAGTTTGCACGAAGTGTGAATGCGTTCTTTTATTTATAACTGATATCGCAAAACTACTTCATTCTAAATAGCGTGCACGTATTACCGGAAAAAAATTGCGTTTAAATCACAAACTATAAAGCGCTGAAAGAGGTCAGAACCACGATGCGCCAACCAACTGGGAAGGTTTTGTTTTCATTGTGGTAATATCCACGAACGCAAAGTGCATTGTCAAAGTTTGTGCCCAGGTTAAGTACATTAAACAACACTAGTAGTTTTGATAATAAAGTTATAGCGGGCGAAGAAAAAATATATGCAATCTTTCGTGCTAACTGCATGGCAATGCGTGTAGGGATATACCATCATGAGTATTTTAATTGAATTATTTTTTAAATGTATTTACCGATCATATCTTGTGCTTTAATGCTGAGGATACCGCTTAGGCGTGCCTTTCCGGGTGCGGCTACCTTATTTTCACGTCGCCACATTCTCGAAGCTATAATGTTGTAGGTGACATTTCACTAAGATGCAGCGTTCGATGCAAACTATTTTTTCTAACTAAATTAGAGCTTATAATAATGTTCTGTTTATATGTGTCTTCACGAATATGTCATAACACCAGGCGGACAAGACAAAGCTTTCAATTTACGTTGTATAAAACATTGCTGGTCCCATTGATGGTATATATGTGTGGTGCTACATACGGATTGTAAATTCAACACTTGTGAAGTATCCTCTTTAAGTTTTAACATCTAATAGAAGTTAGTTTAAGACTAAACGATTTCTATATTATTTTTCTTTCAGTTGGCCATATTGGTGTGGGATCTTCAATGCTGGCCAAATTCGCTACCACGGCAGCCTTTATGCTCACGTACCAGCTGGCTGCTGAACTTATGCCAACGCCACTTCGGTCCTTCTCAAATGGAGTTCTTGCTGCCCTGGCATGCGCTGTGTCTTCCGTTGTTCCTTACATCGTCTACATGGTAGGGTATCTCAAGTTAATTTGTAAGGCTGGTCTTGTATAAGACCAAGCAAGTCAAATATCGGAATTGTATTAAGTTCAGGCAGACTGAACACGAATATGAGGGTAAAGTACTAACCCGAGTTCAAACGTATTGTTTTTTTAATCATCACAAAACTAATTAATTTTTTTATTGTTGCAAGTGCCAAGTGTCTGATTTAGTTCCCTGTGGAGATTCAGTACCCCGTATTTACAAAAACAAAAATTACCTTTGTGGTGTGTGCATTGTTGACTTCTTAATGTGTTTGGCTTATTACATTCATTGTAATGACTGTCTCCACACGCGCCCGGTTTGAAAATACGCGAAGAAGCCTACGGCTAGTTTATGAGAACTGGACAAAATTTGAGTGTGAGTACGGTATAATTAGATGCTCAATGTGTGTAGCGTGGAACCAGGTTTCAATCCCACCTCGTCTATTTGAATAGCTTAATAAAAATATTAAATAGCTTTGTCTGCATTCGGTTGATTCCACTAAGACGCACAACATTAGTTGTTTACGTTCACTGCCTAAGAGCGACGTGTTATCTCTTAAGGAGAAATAGGTGCCACAAAGATAAGGTGAGAGAAACATATGAAGAGTGAAATGTGGAAGGAGGTCGCCCCTCAAGAGAGGTCGTATCGAATGACCCGAAGATAAAGGATTGCTTTCCTCCGAGAAAAACAAATCAAAAACAACAATTGGAGTAGTAACTGAAACAAAGTGGCGAAAAGGACTGCTAAACTCAAACTTCACGCGCTAAATAATTGAATATGAATTGCGTTATATTAGATATCTTGGTGTGGGGTAAGTTTTATATAAATAATTATTTATAACACATCAAAGCGTCGTCGGTAGCGTGTAAGCTTGCGCGAAGATTTTTCACTTAGATGTTTCAGCTGCGCACTCGCCCAGCACTTCTCATTAGGTGCGTTTGAAAGCGGCCAAAAAGTAATTTTTGTAACCTGTCAAGTAGGCTTCGGAATGTTCCGTAATGTACATCGCGAAAAACGTTGGACGCGTTAAGCTCGCACTTTTGCAATACCTCTTTGGGTCATTTTATTGACAATAAACACACGCCCTATAGTATTCCACTACGCTTGCACGCTTCTCTGAATATAAATGTTCTTTCACGTACAAGTTCTTATGATATCTTACATTTTGTTGCCCTTTGCCCTGATACTCTCTAGGACAACCTTTTTACGTCACAATCATCTTGTATTTCGACTAAGATTGAAAGGAAACAGAGCTTTATAGAAGGTGTTCCTAAACAATATTTTTCATTGCGGACGTCGCACATGCTTTTCCGTACCTAATCCCTAAGGAACTCGGAGAAAAAAAAATTAAGGTGTGGTACAGGGTCTTTGGGAGATTTATTTTCCAATACTAAAGTATTACACGTTTACCGTGATTATGAAGAGGGCCCCATAGAAAAGAGCGAGATTTTAATATTGGATTTGGAATTACCCCTAGTAAGTTTAATTTTAAATAGGCAATTACTTCCAATAGAAACCACAAAATTATTAACGTCTTTTTTGTTCCCTTTTTTACTGTTTTTTTTTCTTTTCTTTTTTTTTGGGGGGGGGGGGGGTTTAGAAGACGTCTGTGGATGGGCAAAAGCAAAGCTCATGAGTATTTCAAATTACGATTATTAAATATAAGGCTGACTGATATGTTTCGTGGGCAGAATATATTTCAAATTAATCCTAATACGCACATGCCCAAGTTACCAGCGCACGTGGCTCCCCTGCGGAGGGACTCCTTCGATTAGCTTATAATGAGAGTGCAACAGTAGGGGTCTGTTGAGCCTGAAACGACGGGCTATCTCTCTGACAATCCAAGTCATGAACCTAAGGAGCTACGGAATTGCCACTGAAGAAGTATAAAATTGAAGAGCACGATAAGGAACATTTGGCAACGTATGTTTTATACTGAAAGGTGTTTTTTGTTGTGTCTTTTTTTTGTTTTCAGAGCATGTATGGAAAGTGGATTCCTTTCCTATTTCTTTGCATTATTCACGTCATAGCAGGCACGTCGGCTTCTTTTTTGCCCGAGACCAAAGGCTACCCACTCTGTCAGACCGTCGAAGATGCCAACAGTTTCGGCAAGGGCCAAAAATATTTTTCTTTTAATAGGTAAGTTACAAAACACAAACCGCGTATATTCAAATGGCATGTCTTACTTATTTTGGTATAAATTTTGTTTTCTGCATCAGTTATTATATGTAGAACTATGAGCCTACATTTATTCTAAATCTTGCTTTAGTGAGAGCGTTATGCTGGCAAGGTTGCTTGGCGAGGCTAAGGCAAGTGTTATCAGTCATGTGTGACATATTATAAATGTATGTTAATAAAGATACCACCGTAATCTGTTTAAAACGTTATTATATATATATAAACACTTTTTTATTTTATATTTTATTTTATAATTTTAAACAGCCTTATAACGCTTTCCTTGGAGGATATCTATCTATAAATTGAGAAGTTATGAAGCCAGCACGCATTTATGCAGCTCTGCATAGTTGCGAATATAACCAGCCTATTCCACTAGGCCGGTCATCAGACATAATGTTAGCTTAAAATCTGAAGCAGAGAAGAAATGGAGCGGGTTATTAGTAAATTATAACAGCCCCATGAACTTCATCACACACAGGTACTAACATTTAATAACAATTGTACTTTCTTATAAGTCGAAGAATATTTCATTTTGTTTATTTCTATGCCAATTTTATTCAATCAATCTGGGTAAAGTGTTATATCTTATGATTATTTTAATAAGCGTGTTGTAAGATTACAAAACATATACATATAAACCCTGAAGCGTAAAGCAGAAAAAAATTATTGTTTCACTTGTAAATAACAAGACAACTGCGGTTTTAGTTTTACCACTCATTGTTCATTGTTTCTGATTTTTTTCTCATCTAGAAGGGAAGAATTACCGGCAGAAGCAACGAAGTGTGGCAAGGATGGTGAAGGGGGCGAAAACCGGACAATAGAACTTGAGCCGCTCGCAAAGGAAGTCTAGTTATGTATAACGGTGGGTTCACACTTTACAAGCATGAAGGTCAAGATTCATTTCGAAGATTCTACGTGTGCACATGCATCGTTAGAACTTTATTTATTTGCATCGTTTTTCCACGTGGACGTCATCATTTCCTTTCAACAGGGTGGCGATGGATGAAATAGACTAATGTTAAAACCAGAAAATATCTTTTTTAACATTTTATTATCACTAAATCTGGGGCCCTCTTTTGAGGTATACACCAAAGGGAACTGTGTTGCACGCATCTCATACGTTTGTTGACGTATTTCTTCGAAGACTTATTTATCAGAGAAACAAAATATACTTTTTTGGTGTTCCCAATGTCTGCATTTTGATTATTCCTTCTGAAGCATCATGAAATTAATCTAGAACACACATATACATGTATTTTAATACACCACGTAATAAAAAAAATCGCCACTCTTTGGGATGAGCAAAGCATTTTTATTATGCCTTCTTATGTAAAAACGAGGAAAGTAGCCCATTCTGTAGAAGAAAATAGAGGGTCCGCACGCAGTAAGCATATATGATGTTTTGTACCGATTTTGGTATTTTATATTGAAACTTTACTACGCCCTATCAATGTGCTAGAATTCTGTTCTAGAGATGAGATTTATTCCCGCAATGTCGAAATAAAATGTTCACCTGCGCATTCATGTTAATAAAATGGTAAACGTTTTAGGAAGCTCCGTACTTGTACAGATACCTCAACTGAATGAAGCCCAACCCCTCCCCTAATCCTGCAACTTACGGTAAAATGAACAAGTGTGAACAGGAATCTAGATACGGCAGTAGCCAGTCATGGTATGATAATTTTGTGTACGATCGTTGAAATCATTTTAGGAATCATGCGTACAAAACATTTAAGTGCAGTTGCGCTAAAAGGCAAATATGTTGTTTATTCAAACAAATCGGTCGGTCGACGAGCACAGGGTTATTAAAATACTAGACCCTGTCCAAATAGTCTAGGAACTAAACGGATTCACCCTCAAATATCAAAATATGCGTTTATTTTGTATTCACTTCACAAAGAAGGCATTGCCCGTCCCGCAGATTCCGATCGACAATCAAAATTAAGGCAGAAGTGAACCATATCTATGCTGAAACAAGCAAACAAAAAATGTGAAACGTGAACCATTGATGGCATCTTAGAAATCAGAGCTTCTAACATGACATCGGTTGGTGTGTGCATGGCAGTGAGCACTGTCGAAACAAGTGCGGTCTAATTGATGCTACCTTGTATTGCGCGACAAATACGAGTTCAAAAGAACTTGAAAACGTGCCTTGGTAATTTAAATATTTGTCAGAACTTTAGATGAATATTTCTTTTAATTTTAATTTTGAATATACACTAAAAGAAATTTGTAGCGTCTGCTTTCCCGCCAACCGTTTGGGAGAACCAATCGCCGCAATCTACGAAGGTAACTTGGCGAATGGCAAGGCTGAAAAGGCTTATAAAAAAACAACCTGTGTTGAGACACGGAGTATTTTATTTGAGGTACCCAGTGTCCCAGCGCAGACTGACTTTCGGTGAAAACATATTTTGAGCATCGCCGTTCGCCTAACTCCCCTTCGTAGATTCCTGTGATTGGCTCTCCCATTTCCTGTGTGAGGAGGTAGGCGATTTAACTTTGTTAGAGTGTACGGAGAATATTTTTTTTTTGGTGAAGAGAATAGGGTTATAGTATTACGCAAGGAAGCAAAGTCAGGCGCAGTGCGTTTGCGTTAGCTTTGCGTCCTTCACGCTGCTAATGCGCGTTGTCGCCGTTTGACGATCCCTGACGCAGTTTCGGGTTCCACGCACGCTCAAGCGCCGTTCACACATTTGCAACCGAGTAGGACGGGGAGAGACAAGACTGTTTTTTTAAGCCTCTTACGACGTCTTAGGACTAGCTCCGCAGCAGCGAATCTGGCCCTGAGACATCACAAGACGCTTAGAAACCGGTCTTGTTTCTCTCCGTCCTAATCGGTTGAAAGTCTGTGAACGGGGGGCCTTCAGTGTGGAACACGCAACGCTAATGCAAACGCACAGTGCTTACGTTTGCTCGTACGCGCGATACAAAAAACTCTCTATTCACTACTGCCCAAAACTCGTACTCTTGCAAGTTTGAGTGAGGAATTCTTTTTTGTGCAAATAAAAGCCTCGCATTTTTTATATCTTTATTCAGTGTTAAATGTTGGTGCATACGGCACTGCTCTTTAACCATTTTGTCTTGTCCCTAATTACTCTTGAAATATAACGACGGCTATCGGTGTTGTATTTCTGTCAGCTTAAGGTTTGATTTTGTGTGGACAGTGTAATAAATGAAGGGCAAATATTTTCGTTTCACCACCATTCATCACCCTGCATCGTAACACAGCATAAGGAATTACCATTTTTACCTGAAACGAAGACATTGTGTCCTTCTCGATTTTTCGTTACTCCGAATGATAGTATGCAGAAATAAGAAAAACGATTCTTGTGAGGCACATATCAAGCAGCAAAGTCGGTGACCTAATAAAAGTATTTACTACTGTCAAGTTACCCCCCCCCCCCCCCAAACTGGCATTCATTTCCAGCGATGGGAGGTCATATTGCCCAGCATAAATGACGCAGAAGTATTTAATATATTATCTGCCTAAATATACGACGGGGCATGAAAATAACAAAATAATGACAAAATTTTAAATTCCGCAAATTAAACGTAGTACTCCCGTTTTTCTGCTTTCAAAATGATAATTTATTAGAGAAAAGTACAACTGTTTTACTCTATGTCGCTTGGCAACCGTAGCTCTCAGTTATGAATAATTTCTAAACATATGCGACTTTCAGCTTTCAGAAAGGTCATCGAATATTCAGTTTAGGTTGAGAGTGACAAATGTTCTTCATAGTATCATTTTATTTATGAGCTTACATCTATTTTTGCATAAACTACAGAGTTCCCCTGATGACGCTAACATTGTCACATCTGATTCGAGCAAATATATGTTATATTGGCATCAAATAATACAGAAAAAAGTGACAAAAGCATTTGTGGCCCGGAAGGCTGAACAGCTGCACTTTGGTTGTATGATATCGGTGTTCACCATCGGAAGCCAGTGCGATCGGAACGCTGTGGCCAATGCTGTTGGATCAACACACAAGTTCGCTTTCCGCCCGTCCTCGCCATCCTGGCAAAGGAGTGAAGGACGACCGATCTGCCTTTAACTTTAATGCACCATTACCTGGTTTATCTGCATCTACGTCATCAATCTCTGCTACAGAAGAAACTTTTCGCTCAACATCATCGGGTTTTGTGGCCTTGAAGGCTGAGGTGCGAAATCCTCCTCGTCTGATATTGGAGGTGAAAGCTTGAGCCCTAGCTACTACTCTATGTGTTTTGAAACTGACGCATCATTGTGTTGATCTGTATGTCTATAGAGCACTGTTGTAATATGATTTTCCCACTTTCGTTTTCAAGAGAGAAGCAAGGGCTATATCTTTGTTTTTAGGACATTAACGCTCATTCCTAGAGCTTACGCGCTGTTGGTCACTTTGGTTTTGTGCAACCTCTTGATTCTTGACGGGGATCAAGAGGTTGCACACCGCGCTTGATTACCGCACTTGACTGTCGCGCGGAAGGTGTAGGTTTGGTTCCAGTTAGCGGAATGTCCTGGGCCTCGTTCATGGCCCAGCTGACTCAAGAAGTCCTTCGTCTCAGCCACGCCAGCCATCGTCGCACCACGTTGTACCACCCGCAGACCAACGGGCTAACAGAAAGACATCGCAGACATGATTTCCATGTACGTCGACGTGGAGCAGACATGGGACGAGGTGTTGCCGTACGTCACCTTTGCCTACAACACGGCCGTGCAAGAGACCACCCGGGTTACACCCTTTCAACTTGTTCAGTGGCGTACCAACTTGTTTTTGAGTGGGGGAGCAAACCAGACCCGACCCCCCCCCCCTCCCCACTCCCCGGGTCGCACTTCTGCCGAATCAAAAATTCGACGCCGAATGTTGGGTTCGGCGGAGTTTGCCGAACTTTTCTAAAGATTCGGCAAAGATACAGCAACAATACTGTTACCAGACTTAACGTTGATATTTAGTTTTTTTCTGACAAAAAAAAAGGTTTTATGTTTTTGTCTCAACTAAAATACAACATGTAGTGCCTATTGACACAGTTATTACTAAATAATAAGGTGATATTCTACAAGATAGTTGTGTCGGTGTCGCTTTTGGTGTTTACTGGCAATTTTAGTGTCTGCTTGCAGAAAGTGGCGTGACAACGAGGTTGGGTAGTAGCGGCGCAGTACGAATCGCGCTACGAGAGCTTTAATTTTGAGGCATCATCAGTGCACGCCTGCAAGTCCCTATTGAAAAAATGTCTGTGAGGCCCACTAGGATTTTCTGTGCGGAAGGTGTAGGTTCGATTCTCAGTCAGCGGACTGTCCTTTTATTTATTCTTTCAACTTGGCCTTTTCGCAAGTTGGAGAACATTCTCGTGTGATCGAGTTCCGAATGTTCTACGCACCGAACGTTCTACACCGAATGATCTAGAAACCTACGAGGGCACATAAGGAAGTCCGCAAGGCGAGCGGAGTCAGTTTCGCCCCAGCGTTCGACCTTGCGCTCACGCCGACTTCGACGCCCGCGACGCTCTGCTTTCTTCTGTTCCCTTTGTATTTTGGGGCACAAGTTCGCCCCATTAAACATTTAGTTTCTTCAGTTATTATCGCCTAGTCACTTGTCATTCGTAACAATATGGGCGGAACCCTCAGACATAAGGATCTGGAAAAACTTCAGTACACAACTATACAGGATTGTGTAGTGCACAGTGTAGTACCAACTTGAAATCCTGACTAAACTTTCTAGTATGGCAATTGATGAAAAAAGTCTTACGGAAACGTTGACTCCGCAGAAAACTGCAGACACCACTATTGTTGGTTCTTTATGAATTGCGGTAGCATTCGCCATGCGGTAAAATTCATGTTCCCCCATAATAGATATTAGCTGTTGCAGGTGCCGTACATGTCTTGTGTGTGCTCCTTTTAACTCTGTGCATCAATACTTAGGCTACTCGCCGTTCATGAGCACGGAAAAAAAAGAAATGGATGAATGAATGAATGAGACTCACGACGCAGCTCACAGTGGATATGACGACGCAAATTTTGGATAAACACTTTATTTTATTAATGGTTTACGACGAAATCATTGACGTCAGCGCGTCTGCAGCACGCTTCTTCGAAACTGATTGCTTTGTCTCTGTGTAATCTTTTAATCCTCTGTTTCTGTGGAATCGTTATTTTTCGAGCTGTTTCCCCGCCATCCTAGCAGCTTCGTGTGCGTGTCTCGTCCTGTCTCTGTGTAATCGCGTAACTTTCAAGCTCTTTCACCACCATCATTGACCATGTACCAGCTAGCTCAACTCAAACCGATAATTGCTTCGTAGCTTGAGCGCAAATGTGATTGTGCGCATATTGCCACTACGTGTATGCCTGGCGCGCGTTTATCTGCTTGCTCGAACGACGTCACAGAGGACGA